TATTTAGAAATTTAAAATAAATTGGAAATTAAACAACATATTTTAAAATAACTCATGTCAAGAAATGACAAGGGGAATTTTGAAAATATTTTTAAATTAATAAAAACAAAAAGATAGCATATCAAAACTTATGGAATGTAGTGAACCTAATAAGAGTTAAAGGCTGAATGCTTCTCCTCTATGACTGGGAATAAGGCAAAGATGTCCATTCCTGTCACTTTCATTCAGTTTTGTACTGGAGATTCTAACCAGAGTGTTATGGCAAGAAAAAGAAATTCAAAGCATACTGATTGGAAAGAAAAAAGTAAAACTTTTTAAATTATAGATACCACAATCCCTGATTTATAATTTTTTGACTTTATGATGATGTGAAAGCTTTTATTGGAAACCAGATTTCAAGTTTTGAATTTTGATCTTTTCCGGGGCTAGCAGTGTATGGTATGATACTCTCTTATGATTATGGGTGTTGGGAAAGCCCTGCCTGGTTTCAAAAACTGTAACCCCTCCAGGCTAAGGCTGAGTAAAAAGACCTTGGGACCATAAGCCATTAAGCAGACAAAGCTTATCTTTCTTGTAAGGGCACTGCCTCTGCCCCCTTTTACTTAACCCTACTTGGCCCCGGGTGGATGACTGGTTAGCCAATGACGTGTAAGATTCCTCAAAGGAGGGAAGACCTAAGACAGGCATGGTTTCAAAGGGGCCCTCAGGGAAGGATTTGGGAGGCTATAGAAAAAGGGGGTGATGGACCCTGGCCTCTTGGCTTTGGCATAGCCTGAGTCCTCATTCTGTCTTCAAGAAGTCTCCTAATCTCTTGGTTGCCTTACTTCCCCTGCCTGACTTAAACCTGAAACAATGCTGGAGGTGGGTATGGCCCTGTGCTGAAAAGGGCAGGTTGGCTGGGGCAATTAGGCCTAAGAAAGAATGCATAAAATCCTCTGAAACCTGTTATTTTTTTTGCTAATACCATCCATTTAAATGATAAGGGTCCAAGCATAGAATGAGTTTGTTTCCCCAAAGTTTTATGGCCCTTTAGCTATCTGACCCGGACTCAGAATAAGCCCTCAGAGTTCTTTGAGTGTTATCTATTGTTTGATCATTACTGCCTGACAATGATTAATGAGCTTTACGTATACACCCTGTATTCCTATGCAAGTTAAACCCAATAAAAGCCCATTGAGGAACAGGCTCCTGGTCCTTCTCCTTTGAGAGATAGACCACCTTTCCTCTCCAGGCAGATCATGTCTTGGTAGACTTACTCTCATCCAAGGAGGATGGGGGGCTCTTCAGGTAAAGCTCTCCCACAGATGGGCAGCGTCAGAGAGCCACAGCTCCCAGTGCAGCCCCCTGGCCATGAGGATAAACAGCCCAAATTCTAGTGTAGTACAAAATGCATTTCCCACTTAAGAGATTTTCAACTTACAATGTGTTTGTCAGGACAGAGCCCCATTGTAAGTTGAGGTGCACCTGTAATATGATAAGGAATCTACAAATAAAATCTACTGGAATAAAGGACTTTTGCAATACTGCAAAACACAGGTTGTTATGCAGTTACTAGTTGTATTTCTATATACAATCTATAAACAACCCAAAAAGGAAATTAAGAAATCAATTTCATTCACAATAATGAAACACTTAGCAATACATTAAACAAAAGAAGTGCCATATGTCTGAACACTAAAAGCTATAGAGTAGAGCTAAGAGAAATTTTTTAAAATCTCGATAAATGGAGAGATACTCTAATGTTTTAAAACTGGATCAAGAGATGATTGCACAACTCCATAAAGTAATAAAAACCACTGAACTGTATACTTACAGTTGGTGGGTTTGTGGCATATAAATCACACCTCAATAAAACTGCTTTTCAAGACATTCATATTTTACATGAACATTCTGGGTTCAGGTGCTAGGAGGCATTTGTGTAAGAAAGCTACATTTTATGCTTGTACTTTTGAAATAAAAACTATTGAAGTAAATATGAGGGCTTATCAAAACCAAGATCTTTTTAGATTATTCTAGTCTCTAACCTGCTAAACATTAACCATTAGACATTTCAACTTTTAAACCTTCACAAATGAAATTACTATCTGTGTTTGAAGTTAAAAAAACTTAGAATGTCTACCTTGTAAATATTGTTTGTTGAAATTATTACATGATATGTTGATTATCATTAGAAGGAGAAAATAGGGTGTTGTGGATGAAAATGAAGTTAAAAGCTGTGGGTCAGGTTACAATTATTTCAATAATTGGCATGGCAATAGAGCCGTTATATTGAAAAGTTTTCTCCATTAGATGGAAGCTGGAAATTAGCAGATTTCCCACCGCATGTGACCCTTCAATATTTACTGCTGGTCTTCTTATTGTGAAAGATGCATGTATCACATAATCCCTCTATTAAGTATCTTTCTCTTTGTTGGGAAGTTCCCTGTGTCTCCATCATGTTATTTTCATGATTTATGAGAAATATGAATTTTTAAATTTTTTAATTTTTAAATTTAAAAATTTTTAAATTTAAAAAAATGTTTCCTTTGGGGAATGAAGTTAGACATTAACTTATGATATTAATGTCTGTATGATATTAATCTTATTTTGTTCTTAGAAGTAAAAGAAGTAATAAAGCAACTTATCTTTGGTACCAGCTAAGTGTTTGACCCCGTGTCTTTGAAGTCCATGTGTAGAATTTTGGGGGACATGTTAACGGGGTCTTTTTTTCCTATGGCTGTCATCTGTGGAAGGTCTTTATTGCTCCATAGTGCTCTGTGCACACAGACAGCAGTAAGTGTGGCAAATGGCACCAGGCTTCTGAGTAAATGCTCGGCCAGTCCAGGTTCTGCCTTCTGGACACTGATCTGGACACCGGCGGCTCTGCTCCCTGCCACTGCAGCAGTTGACTCTAAGATCTGTAGCCCTACCCCTGTCTTGGTCTTGGGTAGGAATCCACGAAATGGATAAAGATATTTTGCTTGGAGTATTTCCTAGTAGCAAGTGATCAGGAGGACAGACCTTTTATAATAGCAACTTTTTCAGGGAAAAGGGGATCCTGGAGATTGCAGCATTGAGATCTGACCATTATGTTAAAGACCAGCCATTTTACAGAAGATAAAAGTGGAACCTAGGAAAGTGACTGGACCTACACCAGGGGTAGCAGAAGATGTCCATTTCCCACCCAGTGTTTCCCTCCCTTTCCTTATAACAAATCTTTGATTTTGTTTAGAGTAGCAATCAATGTTTCCAGGGTAATCACCTCCTAGCCTTCCTTGCAGCTAGGGGTGGACATGTGACATGTGACCCATTTCTCACAAGGGATCAAGTGGAGGTCATTGGATGGGGTTTGGGGAAAGTTTTCAGGGGAAATATTTGGCTGGCATGGGAAATATTTGGCTGGCATGCCCCTTTTTTCTCTACTTTCCACCTTCCTGTTTGTAAAGCAGAAATAAGATTTCCTGTTCATCTCTAACACTGTGATTCTTATCATGTGCCAGAAGCCATTCTGGACATGAAAAACTTTCACTTTTAGGGCAATCTGTCAAGTATTGCTAATATTAGGGAGGAATCCATTCATGGCTACAGATGTTATCTGAATTCTACTATTTTTCCTTATGAAAGCAAAGACCATGGACAGGGTTCTATAGAACTTGGGAAGGACAAGCAGCTTCAAAGCAAAACACATTATGATTGTGTCTGCTGTTACTTATCCTCCACAGACGAATACCCAGCACATTAATTTTTTCTGCTTGCTCTAATAGACTATGAGGACCCGGTGGAAGGAAAGCAACACACTACAAGGAAGTGCAAAGTTCTGGTAGAAGAACAGTCAAGCTGAGATCCTTGGACATTTAAGAAGAGATATGCAAGAAATGAAGTTTTATACTTTTGGACTCTGGGCCGGAGAGGAGAGATTTTAAAGTGACCAAGAGAAGAGGCAAACAAGAAAAACCCCTGTCTCATCAAGCAGGCAAACGGCTATGTTCCTGCAAATCAGGCCATTTCCACGCTGCCCCCTGTCACGGATGCTGAGCTGAGGGCAGCGCTGCCAACCTGCTGACGGGCAGTGGTTCACTCTCCCAGTAAATCTTGTATTTGTGTCTCATCTAATCATCGATGGCAGATTTTTTTTTTTTTAGTTGAAAACCTCAAGTCCTTTTCTCTTTCCACCTTTTTAAGAAAGGTAAGACTGCCTACAGATGAGTCACAGAATAGAATTGACTTTGTTCAGCCAAGTTTTCTTTTCAGGAGAAGCAAAGATTGTCAGGTATGAATGAAGCAGGAAGACTGAGAGGCCATTTCAGCCGCAGCCTCCTAGGGGAGCTGCTATTTTAAAAAGAAGTGTAAAATGTGAGAAACATGCACTGAATGTTTAACCCAATCCATGAAACGAGTAACTGGAAAGTGAGTTAGTCATACGGGTGAGTGAGAGCGTTTGTCCAGGAGGCTTGCTGGCAGGAATGCTTTTTAATTTTTTTAATTAGGGGAAGGTTGAGTATCAAGAGGATACAGAGATATAATCGACCTTACACACTCAGAGTGTTTAGAACACAATCCTTGTATTTGTTCTCATCTCAGAAGCGCTGGGCTTGGTCTTTGTTACCTATTGGATTTCAGGAAGGCTGACTTGAGATGCGGCGTTGCCATTTCCTGGGCCCTCACTTATTTTTTCTCTCTCTCTTTTTCCGGCGCTGGCAGCCAGATCCTTTGTTGTGCCTCCTCTGCATTCATTCTCTCTGCCCTCGCACCTCCAGACAGTGCGATGGGGGTTCTCCTGGGCCTCCCACTGGGAGCTCCGGACGTCCACCTTCCCGGGCATCGGATAAGGCACCGCTTGAACCATCCAGTGGGTGTCGGGGCTGGGTCCGCTTTTGTGTCGGTGTTTGTCTCGGCGGCGGTCGGACCCGGCAGGAGGCGCCGGCCGCGACCCCCGAGGAGGCGGGGCCTCGGCGCGGGCTCCGCCCGGTGAGGGTTTCACAGCTGCCGCCGCCCTGGTTTGTTCCGTTACTTAGCCCGGCCCGGCCCGGCCCGCTTCACCCGGAGCCGAGCACAGTAGCAGGGGCTGCCCAGGAGCCCTCTGTGGCCTTCCTCTCAACCAGCCCCGCTTTTTGCTTATTTCCCTGCTTTTCCATTTTTCCTCGTTAACAGCATACTGACCGGGCGTTTGGCAAAAGTCAGACTAAAAAGCAGAGAAAAAGAAAAAAAAAAAAATTGGACGCACCTGCCGCTGTCCTCCAGAGTTTGTGAAGGTCCGAAACCATGTCTGAGACGGGGGAGATAAGTGAATTTGGCTACATCATGGAATTGCTAGCCAGAGGAAAGGTAAGCGCTGGGGCGCGCCGTGCGGCGGCCTGGCCCCCACTCCGGGCGCTACCTGGCGGGTGCTGTGGGTGCCCCGCTCCATTTCGGGGCGGGGGCTGGGATCCCGGTCCGCGCTCTCAGCCCGGGCGTCCCAGCAGCTGCAGAATGCAAAGTAGCCGCTTTTTCTTTATTACGCGGCATCTCTGAAATGAGCCAACTGGAGCTCTCCGGCGCGTTTGGGGCCAGCCGGGCGACAGGAGAGGCTCCCGGGACGGCGAGAGGCGAGCGCTCAGCCTGCGTACAGGGGGGAGAAGGGCCGGGCGTTGCCCAAGGGGACGCTCCTGGAAGCACCTAGGGCTGCCCGGGCATGGTGGCTTCGAGTGGATAACCTCTCGGGTCCGGACACCAAGCGCGGAGGGTGGATCCCAGCTGCCGGGGACCAGGCAGGGAGGGCGGGATCTGCTTGAGCGTGAAGTCTGACCGTGTGGCTGGTAAACAGAGTAGAACCTTTGATCGCCCCGCCTAGGCGTTTTCAGCCTTCCTCCGAAAGTCCTTAGCCTTTGCCTCAGGCTGCGAACCTTTCAAGCCGACATCTTTTGGTGGTGGTGGGGGGGGGGGGGGGGGATGATAAAAAGACGGATTTCAGCCCTGCACCTGTCCCCGACCCCTTTCCAAATCCACGCTGGCGCTGTTGGTGGCGCCTCGCGACCACGCCCTCGGCCCGGCCGGGTGGCGCCGCGCCTGGCCAGAAGCTTTGCGGGAAGGCTTGCCCCCTGCTTAGCTTTCGAGAAACTGCCCAGAGAGGCGCCTAAATGGTTTGTAGAAGGGAGGTGTCGGGAGAAGCAAAGGCCACCCGGCGCGCGGTCCGCCGGGATTCTCAAGAAAGAGTGAGAAGTGGGGGTCTGCGTTTGTCCTCTGCACCTAGAGTTTTGAGAAGAGGTGGTGGCACAGAGGAAAAAGGACTTCCTGTGCATGGTCATCAGAAAGGAGGAGGATGATTCTGCAGGCCTCGTGTGAGCACCTGAAACTTGAGTCTCATACCTCACTCATCCCAACTCCGCAGATACAAAGCCTGGAGTGGGCCACACAGTCTTGCAGCTGGGAAGCCGGTTTAATACACTTACAGGCTAAAACGTCCTGGGCGAACCCTGTGCCTCCTTGAACGAACTCTCCTGTTCTGCAAACACGAAACCTCCTCATGGAATACAATACTTATTAACATCTTGAAGGTGGGCCGTTCCTAGCAACAACAACCCTGGACCAGAAGTACAAATGTTCCTTGTTACTTGTTCCACTTTTCTTCCTACCATGGGCTCCACCCTGCACCTCCAGGGCCCTCCCACTCATGCATGGTTACACCCTAACCAGCACATCCAAGCGCCTTGTTGCCACCAATAGTATCCGGTTGGCTGCCCCCAGGCCTAGGGTGCGTACCACAGCCTGTTCCATCCTCTGCAGGACCTACCCTGGAGAGAGAAGTCCAGAAGGAAGTGCTGGTTCTGAGTGAGGAGACGCGCAGCCAGATGGCCAGGACCCGACCCTCAAAAGTGTACAGCAGGACCCTGGTGCCAGGAACTCTGGCGGGATGGGGGCTGGGAGAGGGGAGGGGGAAAGAGGAGGCCATTTGTTGGTTACAAAATAAATGGACCAGTCTCAATTGAGAGGTGAATTTAGTTAAGCCTGTAGTTCTCAGACATTCTTCAAGTAAGCCAGAATTGTATCAGTTGACTAATACTTATACCCTCAGCAGGCAAAGCTTTAAATTCTAAGAGAATAGGTCAGGCGTGGGATCCAGGGATCTGCATGTGGACATCTCAGGTGATTATAAGTCACACAGGTAAATTTCCTGTAATGGGGAAGGAAGCAGGTCAGAACCATTGGTGAACCCATAAAATTTCTTATGGTAAAGTCAGGTAAACCAAAATAAACCTCTCAGAATTAGCAATGTGTTTACCACACTATGCTCACTATAATGAAAAAGCAAAATAACCTCTGGTTTCATCTGAGCACCTCTGCCTCACTATTTAGGCTTCAGCAAGGGGTGGGCCTGCAGCAAATACAGCATGCTCAGTTGGCTTCCAGCGTTGGAGAGGCTGGGTGTCCCATCCCTGTGAAGTCTCCGAGTTTGGGAAGCAGGCTGCTCTCGCAATAAACTTGGGACAGTTCCTCCCTCCGACTTTATTTTTATTTTTTAAAACACTTTATTTTTAGAAAGAGGGGAAGGGAAGGAGAAAGAGTGGGAGAGAAACACCAATGTGTGGTTGCCTCCCAAGTGTCCCCTACTGGGAACCTGGCCTGCAACCCAGGCATGTGCCCTGACTGGGAATCGGACCAGCAACCTATTACTTCACTGTCCTGTGCTCAATCCACTGAGCTACACCAGCCAGGGCCAACTTTTTTTTTCTTCGTGGTGGTGGTGGTGGTGGTGTGTGTCACTAATAGCCTTCTAACTATTTTGACCCAAGCTTATTCCCTGCCTACTCTCCTCACTGCCCCCAACCCCCAACTCCATTTAAAACCCTCAATTTGTGTGTGATTACACAGTGAACACCGAATACCTACCTCATTGAGTATTAGCCATGGAATAGCAGAACTTTGAGATTTACTTGCTTTATTTTCCTTTGAGGAGTTAGGTTCCACTTTGTAGTTCAGGTTTGCGATGTAACGAATGAGGTGAAACTGGTCTAATTACACCAACTTGGCTGAGTTAACGGAGAGCAAAGGCCAGTCATCCTCTTGCCCCCTTTCTTTCCCTTCCTTTCCTTCCAAGTTGAGACCAGTGGGTTGACCATCATGATAATTTCTTTCACTTTTCTCTGATGGCTTTAAAATATTACTAAATTAATATATGCTTGTTAAAAATATTCAACCTTTCCAGAAAGCTTTACAGAGCAAAAGGTCTAACTTTTCTCCCACCTCCAATTCACTGCTTCTGCCCATGGCAGCAGTTTGCTGCTGTGTCTTTTAAATTGCAATAGCTTATTGTTTGTTCTTTGAATGTGGGAGGTGAGCCTTTCATCTTTAGGTAACCTAAAACCCACAGGAGAAACTGGATGAGCTTATTTTACTCTATTGTGATGATTACTTTAATATTTAAAGTACACAGTGATCTCTGCCAGTGTGGTCTTTCTGCTCAGCAAACAATACACTCTAAGTATAGTTAAAACCTACCATACTTCTCAAGAGGTTTAAAAATCAATGTAAATGGAATTCCTTATATTTCACTATCAGAGAAATTTGTATTTCTGGAAGCTGTTTTTATGTTTCTGTTTTAACTTGTCTCTTTGTACTAAAAGAGAGCTTTCCAAATCTGGGGTCAATATCTGTTGGTCTCCACGATAATTTGCCTTGCTAGTATTATTTATCATGTTCATACACCTTTTCCCTTCACATCATTATACACTCTTCTGGAATCATATAATGAAGATTCAATGACAAAGAACATTGAAGAATTTAAATTTGGTATAACTCTTTATAGAGTATTTAACACACACATATATATATATATATTTATGCATAAATAGCCAGAAAGTACTTTGTATTTCTCATAGTTTAATAATTACCATATGGATACTTTCAAATAGTACAATAGTTTTGGTAAAATAAAAGATGCTTTGGGATGTTACATTTAACTTTGATAGACAAACAGGCAATGATTCCATCACTTGGTGAATTATTACATTTAACTTTGAACATCTTTTAGGCACAAAAAATTTAAGAACTTTTATAAATCCAAAATTTACTTTAAAAGAAGATACTTACACCCTGAAAGAATTAGGTTTATAAGATCCTCAAATCTAGACTAATATAAAGTCTTAAACATCTCCTGTGATCAAAAACAAAATAACACAAAATGATTTGTTTCAGAAAGTTCAGTTGATAGTTGCTCACACAACCGAAATCTAAACTGGGTGATAATACTAGGGTGGTGCTCAATGCAAAGTGCTCTGTAAAAAAATATGTCTTGAGATTGGGTAAAATGTGTGTGTTATGGGGGTAACGATGGCAAACAAAAGATTTCGACGAGCAATATCATTTGAAAATAGCTAGTTTTATAAAACATCACTATACTTTTCCTCTGATGTTTTTACCACATTGTTTAAAAGATAACTTGAAAATATATCTCTTAAACTACTTGGTAAAAAATGTTTAAGTGAGATTTTCAGTGAAATTACAACTTTCCTGTTTTATACTTAACCGTGGGCAGGTAGGAGATGCCAGGCTGAGATCCAGATTTGAGTCTGGCTCTTTGGCATTTTGTCTAATCGTGTGACTTACTTAATCTGTGGGTGGAGGTGGGCAGGAGTTATGGTTGTTACCTGTTCCCTCAGAAGGGAATTACGCCTATTTCACAGGGTTATTGGAAGGCTTAAGTGAATGTTTTATTCACTTAAGTTCCTTATACTGTCATTGACACATAGTAGGCCCTCAATAAGTGAACGCTATTGCACATAGCATGACAACAGGGTTGGGTCTTGAGACAGACACCTTATTTCCAAACTGTGATCATCAGCAAGTGGAGGTAGAGCTGCCAGATAAAATACAGGGATTAGAGTTAAATTTGAATTTCAGATAAGTAGAAATAATTTCTTTAGTATAAGTTTGTCCTATTCAACATCTGGGACATACTTACACTAAAAAAATTTTCATTGTGTATCTGAAAATGAAATTTAACAGGATGTCTATCCCATTTTCATTTGCTAACCCTAGCTACCCTAAGTGTAGGAATAGTAAGATAGGGTTAAAAGAGACTTGCTAACAGCCTTCAGATATTACCAGTGTTGTTTACCTCAAGGTGGCCGGGAGACTCCTTTGCCCACCAGGCATTCAGCCAGCACACTCCGCCATTAATGGGGAAATGTCTGCCAGAGCAGCGCTGTGTTCCTCGTATCCAGTTTCAAATTGTTGGTCTGGTGCTACCATTTAGCAGATAAGTACCTACTAGATTTTCTCTTAAAACAAACCAAAGTTTCAATGGATGGGAAGATAAGGCTTACCAAATGTTAAACATTAGTGTACGA